GGATGAAAGGGTTGGGCAAGATGATCTTTATGGACCCTTTCAGCTCCAAATCTATGATCCTGTGATCCTTCCCTACTCTAACTCATTGCACCCCTCCCCCCCAAAAAGAATCTTCATTATAATAAACAAGAGATTATTTTCTGGGGCAGCTAGGTGGCGAAGTAGGTAGAGCATTAGCCCTGGAGTGAGGAGGACCTGAGTTCAAATCTGGCCCCAGACTAGACACTTGACACTTACTAGCTGTGTGACCCTGGGCAAGTCACTTAACCCCATCGCGTAGCAAAAAGAAAAAAAAAAGGAAAAAAAATAAAGAAGAGATGATTTTCTTTTTTTTTTTTGGATTTAATATAAATTTATTTATTTTTAGTTTTCAACATTTACTTCCACAAGATATTGAGCTCCAAATTTTCACCCCATCTTGTCCCTGCCCCCACCCCAAGATGGCATGCATTATGAATACCCCTTCCCCTAGTCTGTCTTCTCTTCTATCTTTCCCCCCCTTCTCTTATCCCCTTCCCCTTCTATTTTCCTGTAGGGCAGGATAGACTTCTGTACCCCACTTCCTGTATTTCTTATTTCCCAGTTGCATGTGAAAACATTTTTTTTTAAACATGCGTTTTTAAAACTTTGGGTTCCAAATTTTCTCCCTTCCTCCCTCCCCACCCACCCTCACTGAAAAGGCAAGCAACTCAATATAGGTTATACACAAGCAGCTATGCAAAACACTTCCATAGCAGACATGTTGTGAAAAACTAACTCTATTTCCCTTAATCCTATCCTGCCCTCCCATTTATTCTATTCTTTCTTTTGACCCCGTCCCTCCTCAGAAGTATTTGCTTCTGATTATCCCCCTTCCCAATCTGCCCTCCTCTCTATCATCCCCCTGCTCTCTTGTACCCTTCCCCCCCTATTTTCCTCTAGGGTAAGACAGATTTCCATACCCAATTAAATGTGTATGTTATTCCCTCCTTAAGCCAAATCCTATGAGAATAAGATTCACTCATTCCCTCTCACCCTCCCCCATTTCCCCTCCACTGTAATAGCCTTTTCTTTTCTGTTTTTTTTTTGTGAGATAATTTACCCCATTCTACCTCTCCCTTTCTTCTTTTCCAAGTATAATCCTCTCTCATCCCTTAATTTTATGCTCCAGATATGACCCCTTAATCTTCAGCTCACCCTGTGCCCTCTATCTATCTACATATACATACATATAATTTTTTCCCTCCAACTACCCTAATACTGACAAAGGTCTCATGAGTTATAAATATCATCTTTCCATGCAGGAATGTAAACAGTTCAACCTTAATAAGTCTCTTATGATTTCTCTTTCCTGTTTACCTCTTCATGTTCCACTTGAGTCTTATATTTGAAAGTCACATTTTCTATTCAGCTCTGGTCTTTTCATCAAGAATGCTTGAAAGTCCTCTATTTCACTGAATGACTATTTTTTCCCCTGAAGGGTTACACTCAGTTTTGCTGGGTAGGTGATTCTTGGTTGTAGTCCTATCTCCTTTGCCCTCCAGAATATTATATTCCATGCTCTGCAGTCCTTTAATGTAGAAGCTGCTAAATCTTGTGTTATCCTGGTTATGTTTCCACAATACTTGCATTGTTTCTTTCTGGTAGCTTGTAATATTTTCTCCTTGACCTGGGGAACTCTCGAATTTGGAGATCAGTGGATTCTTTCAATTTCTATTTTGCCCTCTGGTTCTAAAATATCAGGGCAGCTTTCCTTGATAATTTCTTGAAAGATGACGTCTAGGCTCTTTTTTTGATCATGGCTTTCAGATAGTCCAATAATTTTTAAATTCTCTCTCCTGGATCTATTTTCCAGGTCAGTTGTTTTTCCAATGAGATATTTCACATTGTTTTCTAATTTTTCATTCTTTTGGATTTGTTTTACAGTGTCTTGATTTCTCATAAAGTCACTAACTTCCAATTGCTCTATTCTAATTTTTAAGGAAGTATTTTCTTCAGTAACCTTTTGGACTTCCTTTTCCATTTGGCTAATTTTGCTTTTTAGGGCATTCTTCTCCTCATTGGCTTTTTAGACCTCTTTTGCCATTTGGGTTAATCTATTTTTTAAGGTGTTATTTTCTTCAGTATTTTTTTGGGTCTCCTTTAGCAAACTGTTGACTTGTTTTTCATGATTTTCTTGCATCACTATCCTTTCTCTTCCCAGTTTTTCCTCTGCTTCTCTTACTTGCTTCTCAAAATCCCTCTTGAGCTCTTCCAAAGCCTTGGACTGATTCATATTTTTCTTGGAGGCTTTGGATGTAGGAGCTTTGACTTTGTTGTCTTCTTCTGGTTGTATGTTTTGATCTTCTTTGTCACCAAAGTAAGATAATATATTCTGACTCTTTTTGCACTGCTTGCTCACGATCCTGGCCAATTACTTGAGTTTTAAACTCTTCGTTAAGGTCAGAGTCTGCTTCCAATGTGGAGAATGTACGTCCCAAGCTTTGGGGGTTTATACAGCTGTTTTCAGAGATACTTGTAGGGACCTATAAATTTTCAGTTCTTGCAAGGTGGTATGATAAGGGGCGAGGTGTTTACTCCTTTCCTGGCCTGTACTCTGGTCTATTAATGACCACAAGCACTCCTTTCTGTCCTGGAACTGTGAGGAAGGTATCCTCTTCACAGCCACTAAAAGTTCCACCAAGCCAGTACTTCTCCTCATCACAGGACTGCCTTTCAGAACTGTGACCCAGATCCAAGCATGGGCAAAGCAAGAGATTCCTGCCTCAGCACTGGCAAAGAGATCCCTGCAATTCCCCTCTGATCAGCCACTGATTACACCTCAGTTGTGGGCTAGAAGCTCAGGATGCAGCCACTGCCCCAGTGCCTGTTCTCTGTGCTCTGGAACTGGCTCTGAGACCCAGCTCCTCTCTCACTGCAGAAACAGACTTTTCCCACTGACCTTCTAAGTTGTCTTTGGCATTCATGGGTTGAGAAGTCTGGAAACCACCACAGCTGCCCGCGATTCAGTCCTCTGAGGTCTGCTCCAGGTTCGCCACAGCCTGCGCCCCCACACCAAACTGCGCTCCTCTACCCACCTGGTACGATACACTTTCCTGATCAATCATCCAGATTGTCTTAGGCTGGAAATTCACTTCACTCTGTCTTTTTGTGGGTTCTGCTGCTTTAGAATTTGTTTAGAGCCATTTTTCATAAATATCTGGAGGGGTCTGGGGGAGAGCTCAAGCAAGTCACTGCTTTCACTCCGCCATCTTGGCCTCTCCAAGAGATGATTTTCTTGAAAACCTAAGGTGAGGAGAAACTAGCCATATCCAGAGTCAACCATTTTACTTTCAGATAGCTCTATGTATAAGAAAATCTTCCTTGATTTCAAATCTAAATTTGTCTCTTCACAGCAGTACCTCTTACTCTTAATTCTGCCTTGTGGTGTTAAAGAGTACTAGTCTTATCTCTCTTCCATGATAGCCTTTCAAGGACTTAAAGAAAGCTATAAAACTCCTTACCCCAAGTCTTTTCTTCTCCAGGATAAACATCACCAATTCCTTCAACAGTCTTTCTATAGGATAAATTTGAGGTCCTTCATCAACCTGGCTGCCCTCCTTTTGAGATTCTCCATCTTATCAATGTCCTTTCTAAAATGTGGTATTCAGAACTGAACATAATATTCCAGATGTGTTGACAGTATAGTCAGATAGATTCAGAACTAAATGAATGACCAGACCCAGACAGCAGGCACTAATGGATCTGTCAGTTTGGAGGAAGGTTTCCAGTGGGCTATTTCAAGGATGCCACTAGTCGTGATATTAAATTTAAATATTGTCAGTTTTTTCTTCTCAAAAACAATTTGTCATGACTTTGATACATGAATAAGAGGTATATTTTTCATTTATGCAGATGTCACAAAATTGGCAGGGACAGCTAACACAATAGATGACAGAGTCAATATACAAAAAAGGCTAAAATAACAGGCCAAATATAATATGGAATCTATCAGATGTAAATGTAAAATCTTAATCCTGGATAAAAAACATCAACCTTGCAAGCTGGGGGTGATTCATGAGAAAAAGACCTATGGGTTTTCAAGAATGGCAAACTTAGCCAAAAAAAGCTAACACAAACTTTTACCTACATTAAGAAAGGATGGGAGAAGTGATAGCTCTGCTTACCTCCTTGGTTAGACCATACCTGGAATATTAGGATCACTTCTAGGTGCTACATTTCAGGGAAATACATTGATAAGCCATAGTGTACTGAGGTATGGTGACCAGAATGAAGAATGGACTTAAAACCTTGCCAAATGAGGACTGATTGGGATAATTAGCCTGGAGAAGGGAAGATTTAAGAATGATATGATAATTGTATTTAGAGGGATGTCATGGGGAAGACAAACGGGACTTATTATGGTTGAGCCTAGAAGGAAAAACTAGGAACAGTGAACAGAAGTTTCAAAGAATTAGATTAAGGAAACCGTTTCTAACAATCAAAGCTATTTATGGAATGAAATATACTTCCTTACGATGAATTGGTTCCCTCTCTAGTAAGATCTGACCCCCTCTGAAAAATTTCAAGAAGACCTTGAAGGGAGGTATTTCAGCAGACAGAAAGTCAAAATAATTAATAGTTAACATTTACATTATGCTTACTATGTACCAGGCTAAGCACTTTGCAATTATTATCTCATTTGATCCTCACAACAACCCTGGGGAATAAATATTATAACTATCTCCATTTAGCAGAAGTCTGTTAGACTGCATTAGACTGTGAGCTCCTTGGGAGCAGGAGCTGTCTTTTGCCTTTCTTTGCATCCCCAGGCTGGTACACATAGTAGGTGTTTAATAAATACTGTTGACTCGACACACACACGCAGACCGAAAAATTAACAATGATTATTTTTTTTTTACATCATCCACACCTCCCGGCCTGCTCAACGTCATTAGAGTCACCCCAGGTTTCCATCCTCGTCCCCGGCAGCTGTCACTTAACCCTTCCTCCCCGAGGCAAAGTAGAGGCCGCGGGCTCACCCTCCACGGCGTTGTTGACTTCCTGGATGAAGAGCTGCAGCTTCATCACCAGTGTGGCGGGCGTGCCCGTCCACCTTCCCCGGCGCCTCCTTGGGGACTGCCTTGAAGGCCCCGTTGATCCACTCCTTCACCTCGAAGTCATCCGCCAGGAACTTGGAGAAATCCATGGCCTTCCTCGGGGCCAAAGGGCCCGGACGGCCGGGCCCACCGACCCCCGGCCCCTAGCTCGGACTGCTCAAGGCTCGGGAGCTCGTCACTGTCGCCGGGGGCGACGGTGACACCCGGCGGGGATTCCGTCCCAGACAGAGAGGGAGATTGGACAGACTGGGCGTCCGCGCGCTCCCGGAAACCGGGCTTCCTCGGAGATGGGACTTGCCCTCAGCTGCGCTGCCACAGGGTCCCCTACGCTTCTCTGGGCTACAGCGACGCAGCCTCTTCCCCAAACTCTGGGAAGAACAGCTTCCTGGGGCATCCACAAGCAGCGCCGTGGCGAGTTGTAATCTTACCGGAAGTGGTTGGCAGTTTCCGTAGCAACGAGAGATCGCTTCCCTTCCTCCACGCCCTCTTTCCCCGCCCCTCCCCTCCTGCCCGCCTAACTTTGTCAGCCGGAAACTGGGCTTCGCTCTTCGGCCTAAAGATGATTCTGCGCCCTACCAGGGGTCCCCGGACTGCGGCCCGAGCCACGCCAAAAGCTGCGGAGCTGGCTCCAAATCGGCCTCCCGAGTTGGGACTCTTTTAGCGCAACTCCTGCGGCCTCAGAGCAGGTGCGAGGTGTCGGGCCTGTGTAGCCAGGTGTGTGTCTGTGTCTCTTGTGCGTGCGCGTGCGCAAAGCTGCTGTCTGGTTATGGCCCTAAGTGGGCACTCAATATTCCCCATCCAAACCGGTTCATTTCAGATTTGCTGTTTTGTTCAATTCGTTTTATTAAACAGCTGCTATGTGCCAAGCACAGCGTCATTGAACATTACCAGCTTAACCTTCCTTTCACACTCGGGAATCCGGCCAAGCTGTCCTTCTCTTTGTTCCTTACTTCTATTACTTGATTTCCCATCTTTGTGCCTTTGCAGTGGACAGTCAGCCTCCTGTACCAGGATTGTACACCCTCCTTACCCCTGCTTCAGTCTCCCAGTTCCATTGAGATGTAACTCAAACACTACCTGCATAGTGCTTTTCTGATCCTACCAACCTGCTAGCGTTCCCTCCCAAACCACTTTGTATTTAATTTTGTGTATGTATGTATATATACATACATACACATGTACATATACGTACATAAATACACACATATATACATATAGGTATGTGTATTAACTTTATATTTTTGCTGAATCTATTAGATATATATACATGTATACATACATGTATTAACTTTATATTTTGGGTTATTTTATTAATTTATTTTGATTTATCAACAATCACTTCCATATGCTTTTGAGTTTAAAATTTTTCTCCCCCTTCCTCCCCTCCACCCTCCCCAAAACAGCGCACAATCTGATATAGGTTATACATTTACATTCCTATTAAAAATATTTTCACATTAGTGAAGTTGTAAGTAAAAATTAAAACCAATAGGAGGAACCATCAGAAAGATGAAACAAAACTCAACAGAAGAGAAAGAAAAATGATAGCAATTCAACTTCCATAGTTCTTTCTTTGGATGTGGATAGCATTTTCCATCATGAGGCCTCTGGAGATGTCTTAGATCCTTGTAATGCTGAGAAGGATTAAGTTCATCAATATTAGTCATCGCACAACATGGCTGTTATTGTGTACAAAGATCTCTTGGGTCTGCTCGCTTCACTCAGCATCAGACCATACAAGTCTTTCCAGGTTTTTCTGAAGTCAGCCTGTTCATCATTTCTTATAGCTCAATAGTATTCCATTACATTCATATACCACAACTTGCTCAGCCATTCCCCAGTTGATGGGCATCCTCTCAATTTCCAATTCTCTGCCACCACAAAAAGAGCTGCTATGAATATTTTTGTACATGTGGGTCCTTTTCCCGTTTATATGATCTCTTTGGGATATAGCCCTAGAAGTGCTATTGCTGGGTCAAAGGGTATGCACAATTTTGTAGCCCATTGGACATAGTTCCAAATTGTTCTCCAAAATGGTTGGATCATTTCACAACTCCACCAACAATTTATTAGTGTTCCAGTTTTCCCACATCTTCTCCAACATTTATCATGTTCCTGTTTTGTCATGTTGGCCAATCTGATAGTATGATGTGGTACCTCAGAGTTGTTTTGAAAATTGAAGGTATTAGAATAGGCAAAGAAGAAACAAAGCTATCACTCTTCACAGACGACATGATGATATACTTAGAGAATCAAGTAAAAAACTACTTGAAATAATAAACACCTTTAGCAAAGTTGCAGGCTATAAAACTTTATATTTTTGCTGAATCTATTTTTATATATACTTGTTAACTTGTTTTCTGCGATTAGAATTTAAGCTTATTTTAAGCAGGAATTGTTTTTCTTTGTACTTTTAGCCAGCACGTAGCATGACTGATCAATTGATTGCTAGGGATACAAAGACAAAAATGAAATAGTCCCTTCCACAAGGAACTTAAATTCTGCTGAGAGAGTATACATATGTAAGGATAATACATACATTATGTTTATGTGTACACACATAAGGAAATACAAATAAACATGAGAAAAATTTCAGGGAGCGCTCACAACTGGGGGAATCAGAAAGATATCTTATAGTTTGGTAAATGGTGGCTCTTCAGTTGAGCCTTGAAGGAAACTTAGCATTCAATGTGTAGGGGCTGACCCACTGTATGAAACCACAAAGACAGGAATTAGAATGTCATAAGCCAGAAACAGGTAGGCGGTAGGTTTGGGTGGAATAATAGAGGAATAAAATAATCTGCCTGGAAAAATAAGCTGAGGCCAGATCATGAAGTACTTTAAATGCCACAGAGAAGAGTTTATATATTCATATTTTACGCAAGAGGCAATAGGGAGCTACCGAAACTTCAGCAAGGCAGAATGACGTGGTCACACCTATGCATATGGAATATTAATTTAGCAGCTGCATAGAAATTGGAGAAGGGGAGGAATGATAGGAGAGATATTGTACAGGCATAATTAACAAGACCAGGCAATATGGGAAAGTAAGTGAGAGTTAAAAATAAAGGATGGCTAGGGGCAGTTAGGTAACTCAGTGGGTAGAGCACCAGCCCTAGTCAGTAGAACCCAGTTCAAACCTGGCCTCAGATACTTACTAGCTGTGTGACTCTGGGCAAGTCATTTAACATGACTGCCTTACAAAACAAACCAACCAACAAACTGGAGAGAATAAAGGATGATGGAAGTTGAGAATCTAGGTGAGGAAAAGAATGATGGTGGGTAGTAGAGAGATGGGATAGGCTTAGGGAGTTTGGATATATTGACTTTGATATACCTATAGGCATGTGCAGTTGGCTCCTGGAAGTATTTAACTGGAGGTGAGGGGAGAGATGAGGGCAGAGAAGTCACAGGAATTTATAAAATTGCCAAGAAAGAAGAGTGCTCAGGTCAGGGTCCTAGGATACACCCAAACACAGGAGATGGGGCAAAAGAGATTGAGAAGGATTAGTCACAAAGTAGGAGAGCCACAAGAGCCGTGTCACAGAAACCACAGGAAAAGAAAGTGTCCACGAAGGATTGTTCAACAGTGTTAAATGGCCAAAATAGGGTAGAGAAAGGCTGTTGGTTTTAACAGCAAAAAGATCGCTAGTAACCTTGGAGACAGGTTTTGGTCAATTAGTGAGGACCAGAAAAGCTAAATCGAAAGGGATTGAGAAATAGAAATCAGTTATAGGATGATAGCTTAAATGAATGTTATAGTAAATGAAAGGGTTTGGGTTTTTTAGGGATGTGAGGGATCTGGGCATGTCGTAGGCAGTAGGGAAGGGCATAGTAGATAAAGAGAAATTGAAAATAAAGGCAGGGGCAGCTAGGTGGCGCAGTGGATAGAGCTCCAGCCTTGGAGTCAGGAGGACCTGAGTTCAAATTTGAACTCAGACACTTGACACTTACTAGCTGTGTGACCCTGGGCAAGTCACTTAACCACAATTGCCTCACCAAAAAAAAAAGAAAAAGAAAATAAGGAAAGGCTGCCGAAAGAAGCAGGCTCCCAGAGATGGGATCAAGGACATAGAGGAGCTGCCATTGGACCACCTCTTCCTCCTACAGTGGAGGGAATGGAGAATGATAATGAAGTGATTTGAAAGATAAAATCAAGAGGCAACTCACAGTTCTTTGTTACAAAGGAGACCAGGAAGGACAGAGTTGTACATATATCCAAGAAGGTTTACCATCAATGAATTTTTTAAAAATCTGGAAAAAAATATAGCATTGCTTTGCTCCCCACCTACATTTTTAACCTATCTCATTCCTTTTTAATATTTATCCTTCCAGAAACATACTCTAATTATGCATCCCATCCTGCCCCAAGTCTCAGTGATAACTATGACATTAGATTTGCCACTCCAGAGTTCATCTTGCTTGTTATCCATACTTTGTATGTTTGTATATGGACATCTGAGGCCATGTATTTTATTGCTGGGTCCTTCTTGGATTTGTCTCCTGTAAAGTTGGGGGCATCTCTTGGGCAAATCAATTAACTGCTCTAAGAATAATTTTCCTCAAATCTATAAAATGAGGTAGTGACTGCTCAGGTCCCTCCCTGCTCTAAATCTGTTATCCTGTCATCTACTGCTATTATTGGGTATCTGTGCCCAGATTTCTCTATGGTGTTAAGCTTCATGGTATCTAAGTAGGCAGCTTAACTTTTCAGTTTAAAGCCTTTCTAGATTGGATTTTCAAGACTAGAAAGGATGTTTTTTTTACTAGGCCTTTTAAGTGTACTCCATTCCATTACTCATACATTTAAGCCATGATTCAGAACTCAAAGCCCATCTTCAAATATGGTCTAATCAGCTGTTCACTTCCCATGGCTGACCATTTTTTTCTTAAGCCTTTGCTTCTGAACAGTAGTAGTGATGACAATACCTGTACCCCTAAGGTCTCCAGTTTCTTGCCTGTAACTTCATAATCTCTAATAATGCTTTCAAGATTATTTCTGGCGGTATCATCTGTGCCCACATCAATCACCTTATTCAACTGTAAATTACAGTTCTTCAAAATACAGAAATTGTCTTTAACGTGAGCACTTTATTTTATGAAGTAGATATGTTCCAGAAAACCTGTGTAACATTTTTTGTTAATCAGATCACCTCCTAAATGCACTCGTTTAAATTTTATGGTGAATTTTGGTTAACAAATTGGTCACTATTATTCCCCATTTTTCAGGTAATGACCTCTCTATCTTACAGGGTTACTCGAAGGATCAAATGTTATCATGCAAAATCGTTTTGTGAAGTATAAAAGTGCTTTACAGATGTAAGGTAATTAAGCCCCTTCACGAGATTATCCCGAGTCCAAAATCAAGTGCTTTATTCCCTCTGTTTCATCCAAACCAATTTACTTAATATCCTCTTCCAGGCCAAATATATCCCTAGAATAT